AAAAAAAAAATTACCCTTTGCCCATTTTATGAAATACTTTTATATAAATTTGGCTCTCCCCCCCCCCCCCCCCCCATCATTTTCATTGCAAATAAGAGTAAGAATAATAAAAACCATGCAAATATTACATTGTCTGTGTCACTGAGTAAACTTAAATGTTCATTTTTTGTGGACTGTCCGATACTGTAAATGCAGTACATATTAGAAAACACCACTTACCAGTTTTTAACTTGAAAAATATTTACAAGTTTATTCAATTCAATCTTCTATTAAAAACAAACTGTAAAATTTATTCCAGAAAAAAATGTACATTTGAAATCACTACATGATATTTAAAATAAATTCTCTATGTACAGTAACATAAAAAATTACAAGAATGCCACTTGTTTGGATCGATAAGACCAGATAAATTATAAGAGTTAAAACTTCTACAACCTAAGTCTCCTTTCACAAGCATCTCACAGCAGCAAAAATATCTCAAACATGCAGACATTTTGCCTCTTGAAGTTGCTGAGGATGCAAAATAAAGTCAATGATTTGTGTGGGAGTATCCAAAGTATTGACATTATTTGAAATAAGATCCATCCATTTAAAATAATATACACCCCCCCCCCCCATAAAAAAGAAAAGAAATGGTGTTGCAAATGTTCATTCAGCTTATATCAGTCCTTCCTCGGATCCTGCGCGCCAAGTGAATGTCTTTTGGCATAACAGTCACTCTTCCCGCGTGAATGGTGCACAGGTTTGCGTCCTCAAACAGGTGAACTAAATAAGCCTCCGCAGCCTGAAAACAGACAGGAAGTTCATGTTGGAGAATATATTGTGCACATATCATGCATAAATGAAAGACACTTTATCAATGAAATAAAAGCACGGTGATTACTTTGAGTTCATGGGCAACCATACTCAGAACACTACCCACAAAAAAAAAAAAAAAAAAAAAAAGGAAAAAAAAAAAAAAAATTTCCCATTTAAAGATTTGAAAAAATGTTCAGTGATGTAAGCATGTGGTAAAAAATCCTTTTAGCTTTAACACAGCTTACCTCTTGAAGAGCCATGATAGCCATTGACTGCCATCTTAGCAAATCTTCTGAGTACATTTCTAATGCAATTTCCCTGACCTAGAAAATTAAGAAGACTCCTACACATCCTAGATAAATGCCAGGATACATAT